GATAACCTCTTTGATTATATGTGTGTATGTGAATTCTATGTGTATATTAGGTAAAGTTTGTACAGCCCTGTAGCAGTTTTTAGACGTACGAGTTAAACCACTTCATCTTTGCATGTTTTATAGTCTGATCAAGTTGTTTTGCATACTATCATACTTTACATTTATGGGATATCCCAGGGACAGTTAACCCACAACAGCAGCAACTAGATGATATTTGATGCCAGGGAGGTAGTTGCTCAAGAGGTAAAGCTCTAGGTGCATTTGCAGAGTGGGGAGTTGTTTTGGTTTTCTTTCATCTTTTTTTTAATATCCTTTTTTGCTGTTTATCTTTTGTTTCTGCAGGGCCCAAAGTCTCCTCACTAATATTCATTTCTAGCCTGCCTTCTAAAATGTTGTTTCCTTCATTTCCTTCACTCCACCAACGGTTCTTCCTTTACAAGAAAATCTTCTATGTTTGTTGTAAATCTGAATAAAGTAATTATTCCTAGTACAAATGTAAATAACCTGGGATGGAGGATAGAGGTTTTTTTCCCTTAAGATAATAACTCTTTCTCATGATAAAAGTGTTATGTGTTCATGGAAGATACTAAAGAAGTATAAGAAGTATAAAGAGGAAAATAGGAATGCCTGTCATATCATTTTTCTCATCAGAAGTAGCTATTTCTAAAATGTTGGGTTTCCTTTCTGCCTTTTATGCGTGGTGGATATTAGCATTTGAAAGGGGAACTTGAGGTATTTCTCATGGGAAGAATGGGAGAAAGGAGGAGACTTCTCTGACTTCACATGACCACTGTCACCTAACCTTGGTCCTCTCCATACTGCAATATATTTCACAAACGCTGATCCTAGGGAGTGCTCTTTGAAAACAAGTCATCAGGAATGTTTTAAAACACTGTGTGTCATATCCTTTTGGAGACTAGTAAGTTAAAGGTTCTGAGAAGGCTTCCAGTAACTAAAACAATTTGTTTTAGTTCAGTTACTCCAGCAATTCTCAGCCTTATTTGACCAGGGAAGATATTTTTTTCTTTCTATTATAATATAGAACATATTGGGACATGCTGTTCTGTAAGCCCTTGCTATGGAAGTGTGGTACACTGACCAGCAATATTAGCATCACCTGGGAGCTTATTAGGAATGCAGAATCTTAGGCCCCACCAAGGACTTACTGAACTCAGAATCTGCCTTTTAACAAGATCCTTACATTATTCATATGTACATTAAAGTTTGAGAAACACTAGTTTTTTGGGGATAGGATTAATGAGGTAGGCGGGGTTCTACAATATTCATTCTACCTGAGCTGCTTTTTCCAAAGAGCTTCCCCCCTTCCTTTTTGGTGTGCATGTGTGTGTGCGGGCAGGGTGTTTGTATGGATGTGTGCATGAGCATGCGTGCATGTACAGGCATGTAGGTGTGTTGGCATCTCTCTGTGTCTATATTTATAGTACCCTTTCTCTGCAGACATTTCCCTCAATGAGCCTAATGAATTCTCATGTCCAAAAATGCTTTCTCTATTACACCTCCTCCCTCTTATCCCTGCCCCTCATGTCCATACACAGGCACATATTCCTTCAATCATACAGCTTAGCCAAGGCTATCTTTGGGAAACCTCGTGTGAAAGAGCAAGTTTTAAGAAATAAGGGGATAAAGAGGACATGAGTTAGCCAGTTGGCAAAAGATGCTTGGAGCAGAAAAGACCTGGCTTGCCTTCAGAAGGGCCCAGAGGGTTTGAATTGTGTTAATTGGAGCTCTACGGTATCAGTGGCTGCCAATTGGAGCAAGCAAGTGGGGCTCTGCTTACCCACTCCACTTCAGCCAGATCATCTATGCTCATATATTTTATTTATTAGGATTTCTCAATTTTTATTTCTTAAGGTGTTTTGCAAAACTTTTTTTTGAAAATCACTGCCCTGTTCTACCACTCCAGTTCTTTTGTTTAGTACAGACCAGGTTTATTGTGACTGGACTTCTTAGCCTCACATTTCAAAGGGAAGAACTAATGAGTTTAGTAAGGTGGTGAGGGCGATATTTGAAGTTTCTTTCTTGAAAAGGTTTTTTTCCTTCCCTCCTTCCTTGTATCTTTTCTTTTCTTCCCGTCCATCTTCTTAGACTCTTTTGCTCTTTTTAAAGACCAACGCTGGTAAGACTCAGAGTCACATAGTCATTGGTTAGAAGAGTGATGAGCACTACAAATTACAAATGAAAGGTATGTTAAATCATAATGTCATCAAATAATATGATTCTACTGTCTGTATGAATGTGGTTATCAAATTCAGTCAGTATTCCCTTGTTGCCATTTTTTAAATTTATTTTTTCGGCTGCTGGTATGGGGATCTGAACTCTTGTCCTTGGTGTTACAAGGTTGTGCTCTAACCAACTGAGCAAACAGTTCAGCACCCCCCTTGTTGCCAGTTTTGCATAAACTTTACACAGCATTTTTCTGTAACATTCTTTGATAATTTACATTTTAATTGTTATCTTGCCATCTTCCACATATAGGATTTCATTACGAATATTTTCAGTGCAGGAAAATATACCTGCTTTTATTTTTACAATTACATATTTGTTTTGTTTTTAATTTTTATGTGTGTTCAGTATGGTAATGTAAAGCAAAACAATAGTTTTTAAGCATTCTCAGCGATTATGTAGTTTAGCTGTTAAGGACTCTGGAGCTCAGCTGTTTGGATTTGAATATTGGTTTCACCACTTAATGGCTGTGTGACCTTCTGAAAGTTACTCAACTTTAAAAAAAAATTGTTTATTTTTTTGACACATATTGTGCATATTTATGGGGTACAGAGTTATATTCCAGTATATGTATACAATGTGTGATGGTCAAATGAAGGTAATGAGCGCATTCATCATTGTAAAAATGTATTGTTTATTTGTGATAAGAACATTTGAGCTCTTCTCTTCTAATCATTTGAGAACATACTATAAGTTATCATTTATTATAGGTGCCTAGCACTACTGCACCACTAGAATTTATTTTTCCCATTTAGCTATAACTTTATCTTTTGATCAGCCTCTCCCTTTTCCCCTTCCCCTGCCCGCTTCCCAGCCTCTAGTTACCACAATTCTACTGTCTACTTCTAAAAGCTCAGTGTTTTTTATTTTTTAGCTCCCACATATGAGTTACTCAACTTTTTGAGCATCAGTTTTTTTCATTCATAAAGTGGAGATGATGATAACACCTATATCACAGTTGTAAGGATTAAATGAGATAATCCTTGTAAAGTACTTGGCATAGCGACAGCGCCTGGCATATAGTAAGTTCTCAAAGTTAGCTAAAGCAATTGTATACATGAGTGATAATATAATAATAGATATCCAGTTAGGGATATAACAGTCCCTGTTGTAAAAAATGTGGGTTCTAGTGGTATAAATGACAAAACCAGAGCATAAGAATAAATGTTTTCTACTTAAAAAAAATAACATTTTCCCTTCTCCTTTCTTCTAATCCCATAGGTAGGTAGGTAAGTGTGTGTGTGTGTGTGTGTGTGTGTGTGTGTGAGAGTGAGATATATTGTGTGTGGTGTGTGTGCTTCCTAGTAGCTTGATGTGGACTGTCATGTAAACATTCAGGTTTTAACATCTAGAAAGTACTCTGGTAGTGTAATAGAGGTAAGCAGTGTATACAGACTTAAGAGTTGAGTGGTTAAAAGCAGTGTTTTTTACTATTTGCCCTAGTTGAAGAGTATGTCGGTTTCAGGGTTGGGGTTGTCAGGGTATGGTCATGGTCTTTTTCGGCCACTGTGCCCTCTTTTATATTATGTTCTTTCTTGTGCCGTGCACCTCCCCACCGTTCTCCACAATTTCGTTCTTCTTTATGATTGAGCACGCCCTCATTTCTCTCTGGAAGTATTGCATTGTTCCTAGGTCAGAATGAATGCCCTTTCAATTACTCTTAGAGCATTCTGTGCTAAAAGTTGTGATCATATTTACACAGTTTATTGAAAACATTTTATTTTTGTTTCTCTCCCCCTCCTTGAATTCTTATCTTCTTGAGGGCAGTAGCATAGGTAGACGAGAATCACATTTCAGTTCAAATCCCCACTTTGCCATTTCTACCATATGGCTTTTTGGTGATGATTAAACGTGATAAGTGATGCAATGAATTTAACATAGCTCTTAGTTAATAATAACAATAATTTAATAATACTGATAAAAATTTCCAACTCCTGTCACAATGTCTTGCATAGGTACTGATAATGCTTAATTGAACTACAAAGGCCCTTTATCATTTATATAAGTCTGCTGCTGCTGCTGCTTTAAACTGTTTTCCATGTCTTGTTTTTTTTGTTTATGTAATTTCATTTTATTTTATAATCCTGTAAGCTAGACAGAATATGTTTAATTATGCCCATTTTACTGGATAAAAGAACTCATGTCAGCCAAAGTTACCTGCATATTCAACTTTTCCAGCAGTTCTTAAAATGTTTTCCTTTACCATTGATTCAGTGCATGATTGAAACTGTAGTCGATAGCATTTTATTCTTTGTGTCTTTTATCATGTTTACTTATTTGTTGAATCTTAACTAGAGGCAGAGAAACCATTTAGTGGAAGCAGATGGAATAGTCTAGGCAAGAGACAGTAGTGTCCAGAGGATAATGCCTGTGGGGGGAGAGAAATGAATGGATTTTAGATATATTTAGGAGAAAATTTATAGTACTTGATGGTTGATTGGGTATAGTTGTGGGAGGTAGGAAGTTGAGTTGTAGAGAGGGAGGAATCGGGGATAAATCCCAGGATTCTGGCCTAATTAAGCAGCTGGGTGAATGGTGGTACTTCTCACTGAGATAGCAAACAGGAGGAAAGACAGGTTTGGGCAAAGGTCATAGTTCACTTTAAGATTTGTTGAATTTCAGGTCCCTGAGGGAAATCTGCGAGGAAAGATGTATGAGGGAGTTGGAGATGTGGGGTGAAGCTTAGGAAAGAGAATAGGACTGTAAATACATATTGGGTAGTCATCAGTGTACATGAGTGAGTTGAAGCCTTGGGAATGGGTAAGACAGATCAGGGAGAGAATAGACTGCATAGCATGAGAAAGAGAAGTAGGACAGACCTTTGAGAAACATCACTATTTTTTTTACTGTGGTAGAAAAAGAGCATCCCACAGAGAAGAAGAAAGAAATGGAGGAGGAGAAAAGCCAATAGGGAGTATGGAGCCCAGGAGAGTGTAACGTCATAGAGACAGAGGGAAGAGGATGTTTTCAAAAGAAGGGGGTGTGTTTAGCCGTGTCAAATGGCCTTTACTTTCATCAGACAGAATCTTACTTTTCCCCTCAGGTTCCATGTAATATTTGTTTTAACAAATATGGGAGTTATATTTTAAGCTGTAATAAGATAATAATCCTGCATAGTGCTGCCCTAAGCTTTCTATGATAAAGTAGTTCTGAATTATAGCTATAGGTTAAATATAGGAGGTAGGAAGATGAGTAAAATTACCTTAGTAACTAACTTTGCTTCCCAAGGAATAGTGCTATAATTATCTAGTAATATCTGCTTTTAAACCTCTACTTCCAAAGCTCTTGATTGTAGCTACAGAATTTAATAGAATTAATTTAAAAAACCATATGGGTGCACCTTAGTGTAGAGAATTTGCAAGTGGTTAGTAAATGTATAGTAACTGAAAACTCTTGGAAAATTGCATAGTTAATTGTGAGGGAACATGTACAGTTTGAAGAAACCCCCACCTTCTGTTTTTAGGAGGAATGAATTTTTTTTATTTATGAATTTATTGTTCAGCTAAGCAAGCAAATCACAACACTTTATAAAACTGTATTTGTTCTGTAAAGTGATAGCTATCTCTGAAATACATTGGATTTGATATGATTGATGATGCTTAAAGATTCAGGTTTTATGAGTGTTGAATAACAAAGCTATTTAGAACATAGACAGTATTATAAAGGAATAGCTAAGAGTCTAGAACTGAAAATCAGTGAGTGGCTGGCAGATTTCAAAAATACCTCAATTACTCATGAAACAAAATTTGAGTGCTGCTTTGGGGCAGGTGCTGGGCTAGTTAATGGAGTTACGAAAGAGAACAAGGCAGATCCTTGCCCTCATGAAATTTAAGTTCCAAACAAAAAATACAAATAAAATAATTGCAGATTGTGATAACAAGGGAAATTACAGACATGCATGACTTAATGACACGGCACATTCTGAGAAATATGTTGTTAGGCGATTTTGTCCTTGTATGAACATTGTAGAGTGTACTTACACAAACCTGGATGTTATAGCCTACTACATACCTACGCTATACGGTATAGCCATTATAATTTTATGGGACCATTGTCGTACATGCAATTGTTGTTGACTGAAAGTTTATGTGGTGCGTGACTGTATTTGAAATAAATGGACAGAGGAGGCTTCTCTGAGGGGTGGCATTTAAGCTGAAGATGAGAGGAGGTATTATGGAAGAGTTCTGGTTAACAGTAAGTTTAAAGCCTTTTCAATAGGAAAGAGTTTGTTTTACATTGAACAAAGACTAGCGTGTGGTAAGGCAAGTGATGAGTGACATCAGATGAAGCTGGAGAAGTAGGCAAAGCATTAAATTGCAATTTAGTCGTAAATGATGTGACATTTAGATTGTATTGGGGTATAACCAGAAGCCATTGAACAGGTTTAAGTATGGAAGTGCTATGTGGCTGCAGTAAGGAGAGAATGGATTGGCAGGATGTAAGAGTGGAAATAGACTAGTTAGGCTATTCCTTTAGTTATGTGAAAAATAATGGAGCGTTAATATTTTGAGACTAAATTAAAGATAATGAGTTTGTACGTCACTGTTATTGATACCTTGATATATGTTTCCATGGAAAAGGTTGTTAATGTACATGCAAGGAAGACTTAAAAGGTTGGAATTTCAGTACTTAACGGCTTTATATGCACGCTTAAAGTGATAGTGAAATTATTTTAAAGTAGGATGATTAACATGAGCATGGTCAAATGTAACAGAGGAATTGCTATTTAACAGTTACTTATTCAGAGCTGGCTGGTTAGCTCAGTTGGTTGGAGCATGGTGCTGATAACTCCAAGTTCCAGGGTTCGATTCCTGTACTGGCCAAGCTGCCAAAAACTGCCAGCAAAAAAAAAAAAAAATTATTCTTTGGACATAAAAAAAGAATAATTTTAACTTTCCCTTCAAAGAAAGGAAAATGAGATATTCAGAGCCATTCTTCAGTTGTGACAATAGCTATTACTGTTGGTTTGAGACTTTGTTGAAATTTATTATGTTAGAAAAGTTTGCCATTCTGTTATAAAATCAGGGTTTCTTTTCTTTTCTTTTTTGGGTGGTAGGTTGGGACAGGTATAGGATCCTGGACCTTGGTATTATCAGCACTACCCTCTAACCTGCTGAGCTCACTGGCCCACCCTATAAAATCAGTTTTACACAGAATGTATGAACTTATATTTTAGAGATGGTAATTAAGAATTGATTTGAAAACTAATGCAGGGCTTCGGAGGCTGGTCAGATTAATTTTAATATTGTGTTCTTCTCATCCTTTCTCTCACAAGGTTGAAGTTATCTCAGGGCTCAACTGAAGGAAGATCCACTTTCAGGCTTACTCATGTGGTTGTCAGCAGGACTTAACAACACCTGTTTCCAATTTTTATCATGAGGCTGTTGGCCAGAGACATCAGTATCTTGCCTTGTGTTCCTTTCTCTAGGGCTGCTCAGAACATGGAAACTTGCTTGCCCCAAAGCAAGGTATCAGAGACAGTGAGAGAAAGCCCCCAAAATGGAAGCCACAGTCTTTTACAACCTACTTTTGGAGTGTCATCTCATTACTTCTGCCAAATTCTGTTCCGTAGAAATGAGTCACTAAGTCTAGCCCACACTTGGGGTGGGGTAGGGGTTGGAAGGGAGATTACACATAGGGCCTGAATACCAGGAGGTGGGATCATTGTAGACCATCATAGAAGCTGCCTATGACATGATCCTTTAAAGTTTAAAACATTTGTTGTTGCGGAATTCTTTCTTGAAAGGGAAGCTTATGGGGAAACCCAAAATGTAACATAGATAAATGGGGAACTGTTTGGGCTAGAGCAGGGGTTCTAGGAAACTAGAGTTCACCTGCTCAGCATCCTTCACTTTAAACTTTTCAAAGCAGTTTGAATATTAGTGTCTCAACCATAAAATGTCCTGGCCAGCCCCAGTAAATGAGTGTTATATTGATGCTTTTTATTTGAAGTCTAATACATTGTTAGTCCACAATGGTGGCTTTTATACTAAAATTCGGTGAATGTTAACGATGATGGCTAGTTAAAAAATGGGGGATTTTTTTTTTTTTTTTTTTTTTTTTTTTTTTTTTTCCGTG